AAATTATTTATACGAACTCTGTGATCTTGCATTCATGAAACACTCCTTTATAACATATCATATCACATTCCAATACCATGATGTATCACACGGACTCTGGCTTTTCCAAAACTTTCTAGTCTAGTTTATCAATCGGTTCAGTTGTTGATTATGGTGTGATGTTTCACGCTCTCGGGTAATACATGTATCTTTATAACTCATCTTTGCATCTCCATCTTTGCTTATCAATCGACGTATTGTACTGATTTGGTAATGGTATGATACTTGACCATAGTTCGATGTAGAAAAAAAACTGCTTTTTTGTACTTTTTTAAAATAAAAATCAAACCAATAAACGCGACAACTCGCTCGAAGCAATCATACATAAAATGCACCAGCCGTTTTCTGTCTCTGTGGACATCACGCGAAGCTTTTGACGTCCCCGCTCCAACACTCAACTCTCCCGTAGGTTAAAGTATTTTATAATATCTGATCCCAGCAAGACGCACAGAAAATGAAAAGAATGCGAGCAGAATTGAAAACATCGGTATGGGACACAAAATTAAAACTTGAAACCTTTTTTGGGTGCCCTCTATTACCCACATAACATAATTATGCAGTCATCACAGCAAGAGTTGGAATACGATCAATCTTTATTCCTTTTTATCAAGGGCTATTACCTGGGAGTAATTCTATTGAGGCTTTCTCGGAGTGATGGGAAAGATAAAAGCGTCCCATCCTGATACATGAAATAGCAATACAGGTCTTCTAGCATTATCCCTAGTGGCGGCTAAAGGTATAGATATATATCAAAATGTGCTACGGTTAACGAAAACAAACCTTTCCAGGCCCGTAGCCGGGGGAGAGGGGGGGTCGGGGGTTCGAAAGAACCACCCTTTTTGCTGGGAAAAGGTCCACTCTGGGTAAAAATCGATCTATGTACTTGAGGATTTTATGGTAAAAGGTCCACTTTTTCAGAAAACGAACCCCCCCCCTCTGAAACTGCTGGCTACGGGCCTGCTTTCGGATTAAAAAAATAACCAGCGTGATTTCCTTATCACTTTATTTCATTTATTCCTAAGTCAGTGAGTTTGTCAGAATCCTTTACTTAATTTTTGTATTCTTTGTCTTAAATATCGATTGGCGTATTGGGTCATTAGGTTATTAGCATCTTGGACGTTATTTTGTCCATGTTAGCATTAAAGGGCTACTGCACGGGGTTTTCCCGCCAACATGAATTTTTAGAAGTTCTCTCCACGCGTTTGAAAATCCTCCACAGTCCTATTCATGTCAAAATGACGTGGAGTGTCCCTTCAACAGTGATGGTCCTAGATCTGACTTAAACTGAGATAAGAATTTAGTAAATGTGCCAGAATTCAGATCGCTGCGTAACAGTGACACGAATTTGAAGGAAAATGAATTCTTGAATCTAAGGGTGGAAAGGGGGATTGTGCGTTCATTACCCAACTGCAAAATGGCACATTATACCTTTCCTAATGTGGTCATTTTCGCTTGGTGTATCAGTTCATCGTGTATGATAATTTTTTAATCAAATGCATACAGGTTTATTTGCGCTCCGAGCACGTTATAAGGGAAGGCGAGGAAGAATTGCACCGGTAATTGAGAGAAACGACATGTTTCAACATGACATATATGCAAGTGAAATTATATTTTACCATTACACAGTAAGGTAAAACGGATCAAATCCAAGACATTTGATCAACTAAATCATAGTGATACTCCAAGAGTTTCTGTCTGCTTTACATCATATTTGTATGGCAAGGTGTGCACACAGGCACTAGCCTTATTTTTCATAAATTGTACGGAAGCATTGCTATAAACATGCAGCAAGGTCTGAAAGTTACTGATTCGAGCATTCAAGCTACATTAAAGACTCGTTTGGTCATAATTTGTATGGGAATAAAATCAAACTTTAAGGGTAGAAAGAGCTATAGGAATTGCAACCTACAGCTTTTGAGTCTGTGGCGATAGTGGCTATCTTATTGAGTCACGAAAGTCTTTGCTCATTATCGCGCGTGCAGCTTAATGGTCTGTAAATGATAATAAATGTACACTAGTCCAATTAACAATGTGATATTTGGGTCATTCGGGGGTCAGTGTCTATCTCAAAGGGGTAGTTCGTTTTAATCTTGGACATAATAAATTATTTTTATATCTTAATTTTGTACATGGTTTTAGGTAATTACACTACAAGAAAAATATACTCAAATTATAAATTTCCCCAGGTATGTCCACGACTTCCAAAGACTTCATTGTTGCCCACCTCTGTATTGAGTGCCAACCGCAAGAAATGCTGTGAAGGTTAGTGAACGTTAACATGATTTTTGCTTATATACACACTTAATCAAAGATGCAATTTTTAAGCAGGGTTAGTAATTTCTAGCTATCAAAAAACTAAACGTGCCACTGAGTTTGTATGTAAAGGCAAAATACGATTTAGGACAACAGCAAGGCTATGAGTGGTATCTTTGCATGATTTATGTATTCAACTGTGTGCATGCCATATCTTTTCCTCTAATCACTGTTCAAATCATTTCCATGGGAGCTGTGCCGTGGATATCAAATGTCTTAATACATCAGTGCACATCGCTGATCAATCGTTAAGAAAAGCCATTGAAGGACAATTTATTTCCACCACAACCTGGTATTATGCTAAATGATACAGAGTCACTGATGTCAGAAAAGATAAAAAAGCAGCAAGGTTTTCGAAGACTTATGCACTACAAATTTACTGAATCTGCCGTCCTCTTTCTCTGTTGTGTAAATTACTGCTTTGCAGGTTATAATGAGCTTATACAGGTGTCAATACAGATATCTGGACAGGGGATTCAAATCACAAATTCGTTCTATCCTGATAATCATATAATATTCTTAACGAAGGGGACTTTAAAGATATTTATTTCCAAAATCCCTACAGTTTGTGTGTGACTGTTGCACTGCCAAACTAATTGACAGGATAAGTTATAAGAGATTTTGATTTAAATCGATGTACGGTGGGACTTCCAGAACTTCGCTGCACGTTAGCTAGCGGTTCAGTGTAAGATAGTTAACGCGTGACTATTCTTTCAGGAGTTTGTCCGACTGCACATTAGAATTTTGAAAGTCATATTATTCTACTGGTAACAGGCTGTTTGGCTTTAAATTGAGCAACAGGCGGTTACTGAGCTACTACAACTACTACAATCTGTATATATATTGTAAAACATAATATATCTAGAGGGAAAAGTCACTCATGCACACTTTCCAACGCCTGTATTGAGTTTCATTAAGGAGCAATTTATGCAACTCGTTTTCAATGTGCTTGCAGATTAAAAGCCACAGTCTAGTTAAAGAGTGACTGTGAACCAAAATTCGTCACTCAAAAATCATGTCAAATGCTAAAGATTCTAAAGGAATATGCCTTCGAGTTGTAAGAACAGGCTACCTTACAATTGCAAGAAAACAATAAAACTTGAGACAAAAGAAAAAAGAATAGTAGGTATATAATTAAAACTAAGGCAACAAGGAGTCAGGTGTTTCAAACAGTCAACCTCCTAAATAGTTATGAATTGTCGACACATTTACGGAAATTTGGATGAGAAAGATGAGCACCTTTTTATCTTGATTGAGTTTAAAGATGTGGACAGTGCTGTCAACAAGATACATGTAGGCTATATTGGAGGCAGTGAAGACGAATCAGACAGATGAAATCATCAGAGCATCGAGTATGGGGCGTTGAAATGTCGATCAATAGATGGAGCATTAAAGTCCACTGTGCTTAAGATGGCTACTATGGTCCGCTGGACGCGACGTGACATGAATGTAAGAGCACGTCTACCCTCTACCAGGACCACATATTGTTTTTTCACTATAGATATGTCTCTGGCTAATTCATGCACGATCCCTGCTGCTGCGCTGGAGAAAAGTGCACATAACTAACCTTCGGCCCTGGTAGAGGACAGATCACATACATGTAATAAGTTGTGCCTATGCATTGCTCACTGAATAGCTGTTTGATCAGTCATTATTTTGAAATGTTAGCGATTCATTTTCTTCTGTTTTCGCCCTTTCCATATCTTGGTCGACCACACTGGTGACGCTGTGGTGGACGAATAAGAGATCATTTTCTTTTACTTTAAATTAATACTTTTTATCCAAAAGAAACGTCCACCTGTATTTGCATGTATCATTACCTCCGCCAAGGAGGTTATGTTTTCACCACTGTTTGTTTGTTTGTTTGTCTGTCATCAACATAACTCAAAAAGTTATAGACCGATTTTGATGAAATTTACAGGGTAGGTCAGAAGTTGGCCAAGGAAGAGATGATTAGTTTTTGGTGGTGATCCGGATCAATAATCAATCAATAATCAAAAATCAATCATCAACATAACTCAAAAAGTTATGGACCGATTTTGATGAAATTTTCAGGGTAGGTCAGAAATGGGTTAACTTAGAAGTGATTAATTTTTGGGAGGGGGGTTCGAAAGAACTGCCCCTTTTGTCAGGAAAGGTCCATTTTGGGTAAAATTTGATCTAGGTACACATGAGTTTCATTGTAAAAGGTCCACTTTTTCAGAAAAAGGACCCCCCCCCTTTTGAATTTGCTGGCTACGGACCTGCTGTGCCATCTCTGTCCTCGTTTCATATCGACATTACGCCATATTGAGGCATATTTATCCATAAGAACAGAGAAAATTGAAAAGTTGGTTTACGATCAACTTTTTTCCCAATCTTATTTTAGGGGTGAAGAAATGTCGAACCCACAGCAGCATTTAGTTTCTAACTCTTATTTCTACCAAACCTACATGTATTAGCAATGCTGCTTATGCATTTTTCAGTTAAAAGAACTGGTGAAAAAATTAATAATAATAATCATCATCATCATCATCATCATCATTATTATTATTATTCTCATTTCTCAAAATTAAGATGCGCACTCTTATCCTTACAGAGCAGCCAACACAGTTGGTCACATTTTATAGGCCTAATCGCAACTAACGCAATTGCTAAGGTAAATAGATTTCATTCTCATTTTGTGCACAACCAACCTGCTCTCAATCATCAATGTTTATCCAGCCAGCGTAATATAAGCCCTAGAGATAAGAGTCGTCGGTGATGAAACCAGTTTCCGTGAGATTGAACCAGCTCATCAGGTAACAATCTGTTTAGAAACCATGATAGGGTCGATAAGGAGACTAAGCATTGCTGCAGGGATTTGGCCGAAGCGATGGACTTTGTGCAGTTCTGCTATTAAAAGGTCTTTTCAGCGCCCAAGGCCAATACAGGGAAGTAGCACTGTGCTTTCGAAATATTGGTTCTCTGGCCCCTTAACCCGCACACTGTCAACTATGGCTCAAGTGTCCTCTGCAGATGGTAGTCACTGTACGGCCAAGCAAGTGAAACTGAACGATGAAAATAAATGTGTTCGTGTAACGTGGGGAGACGGCAAGGAGGACGAGTATCCATATGTGTGGCTGCGAGATAACTGCCAGTGCCCCGAATGTTTTGTTTCTTCGTCTGCGTCCCGTGCCTTTTTGATGGCAAATCTAGACCCTGATGTCAAACCGAAGAATGTACAGGTACATGTAGGCGTGAAACTTACCTTTTTTATTAATTTAATTTTATTTATTTATCCATTGTCAAAAGGCATATGAAACATGCAGTTAAAGGTCATGACTTAAAATTAAAAATAAATAAATAAATAAATAAATAAAAAGGTAGCATTCTGGATCATTCTCAATTTTTAAAGGTACATTGCACATGTTTATAAATTTCCCCAAGTCATGTTTTCTGTGTCTACATATCCAACAAACCTTATCTTTCTCAGTTCAGTTTTATTGTTAACAAGCTCTTGGTCAACTTTAATGCATTTAAAATGCATCAGCAATTAGTAAGCTTGCCAACTGATGACAGTTAATCTAAAAGACTATCAGCTTTTGATATGATCTAAAACACCTGAGGTGACTGCGAGCATCGCAACTATTGTCACCGAAGTTAGTAAGTTAGTCACAGAAGACTGTCACAGACAAAGAAAGATTGTCAAGGAGTGCTGCAATTTTGGTGAATCCCACGGCAACACACTGAGGCATAAAGAAAATTGCTCAACTCCGTTCAACACAACTTTCCTAAACTATTTTGTCTGTATGCACCATGCAGCTCAGTTAAATCTCATAGACCTTTATCCTCATTGTCATCACAGTACCACGTGTCCCAGATCTGTTGCTTCATTTATGCATATTGAGGTGAGGTTTACTAAAACGCTTTTTTTCTACTAATAGATTGTTTTTATCATTTTTAAATGGCAGGGATCTATTAAAACATACCTCTAGTGTATAGATTGAGTGCTGAATCTTCAAAATTCGAGAAATGGATTTTTATGTGTCTATTGTCCTTTAAAAAACTGTACATCTCAAATAATAAGACCTGACGTTGAGAGTTACTTCTGGAATGTACATTGTATAAGAATACTTGGAGTTTTAAATGGCCATGCAGTCAGCATAAATATGCCAGCAAAAAAAAATTTGCTTGGCACATTAATTGATAAAAAAAAAAACTCATTCTGATTGTCTAGGAGATAGTAAAATTAAATGACAGTGTTAAAACTTTAAATGGTCCAACTCCCCAGGGACAGCCCCATTTTGAGGGACACTAAAATTTTGCAGTACCTATGTATGTATGTATGTACATTCCTTTTGATAGTTCTACCAGTATAAATCCCCTTCAAGTTCCTCACTCTAATGGTCTAGGAAGAGATAGCTGTAATTGCATTGTGATTTTTTTGTAGTCAACCCTGGACCCCCCCCCCCCCACACACACACACAGACACAAGGTCAGCCTCACCCCTAGGCCCATTAAGATTCCAAAGGGCCTATATTCACATCCCAGATCATTCCCAGACTTTTCCATCCTTCCATCACTTTACCAGTCTAGAAGGAGAATTTACAAAAAAAAAAAAAAATTATAAAATTGGAATATTACACAATTTTCAGTGTGATATATAAGCATGAAAGGTACAAAGTAATGGATTACTTAGTGCTTTTAATTTGAGTAGATTTGTCACTAGGTCAATGTGATCGACTCAGATATATGAGTCAGGTCAGGTCCTGAGCTGGGGACATTTTTGGAGTATAACAACTTTGAACCAAATAGATATTCCAAAATTTTAGGTTATTTTTAATTTCTTTCTACAATTAAAATAAGTAGTAGTACTAGAAGCTAGTACTCTCTTTAACAGGTTCTCTAAGTTTGTTTCCAGTGCCGGTTATTTTGAGTTTAAATTAATTGGTTGTGTGGAGAGGACATTGGGGAGAGTCATTTAGGTGCCTTTTTCATAAATATTGTTATAGCCAGATTATTTTAAGTCAGCTGTTAAATTGTCAGTCTTTCAAATTGGACCAGTTGTGTATAGTCTGCCTGGTGGGAAAAGGGAATTGGGAAAGATGCTTTCAATTTTAAGGACACCAATCAGCTAGATATGTGTAGTTTCCCACGGATGATAAAATAATAGATCAGAACTCCACCACATGTAACATGATGACATGTTACATCTATGTATGAGTGATAGAATGCTAACAGGGGGGTTTATACTATCTGCAGCCTACTGGTACTTCAAAGGCTGACAATTATATTTGCTACATTGTATCTCAGCTGTGTACATGTGCCCGTAGGTTTTACATCATCTTCATTTTAAGTTGTTTACATATAGTTTCCCCATGCACTGGTTATCTATATACCCTCATATATTAGATAATTGACCATAACTGTACCAAACCTTATCTCATTGACTTTAATGTACATGTAATACCCTGCAACATGCAGAATGATCTGAATAAACTTGATTGAGTGGGTGTGCCAGGACTATATCTGCAAGCTAGAGGGGTGGGATTGAAGAATTACATCGCATCTCCTGAGATTTTTGAAAGAGAAATTCTTCCATTTTATTCCAGATTGCTTTCACCATTGACAGACCTTCAGTAAACTTGCACACAATTCATTCACCTCACATGATGTATTCTTACTTTTATTTGGTTTTCAAGCATAGTTATTGAGTCCTACCATATAAACTTAACAGCTGTCCTTTAACATTTTTCTCAGCCTATATACCAGAGAACTAAACAGGTGCAGGGGCTGATCTAAAGATATTTTCTGACGGTCTTCCAAATTATCTTTGTTGATCAATTCTTCATTTTTGACTGTCTTCCGACAGAAAGAATTAGATGCCTGTAAATGTTAACTTAAAAAACTTTGACGGTCTTCTGGAAGACCCAGAAAAAGGCCTCCAAGTCCGCCCCTGAAGTGGTACAATATAGATCGATGGACCAGTGACTATAGAAATATCTAGGCCATCCAGGTCAAAGAATTGTATGCTTTAATGCTGGTGCAGATGACCTGCTGGTAATAGACCATATTGTTGTGGCTACATTTGTGGGCACCAGTATATCAAATTAAGTTAATACAACATTGAAAATAATTGTATAAGTTTGCAGTACTATGGATCAAAGCATGCTTAAATGAAAGAAGGGTATAGGGACGCTCTTATTCACACACACACACACACACACATGCACAGACAGAAAGAGAGAAAGGGAGAAATCAGTGTGAATGTTTGATATATACTGTACACATTGAATATTGTATGTTTTATATGTGTCTATATTACACACATTGTATGCTGTGTGTGTGTGTGTGTGTGTGTGTGTGTGTGTATTGGGATGGGAGGTACATGAATCCCTCAGTATAGTGAAGATTATTATATACATGTATCTAGTCGGATCTCTCTTTCTATGAAAGGGTAGGATGGCATGAAAAAAACTGCTGTCTGACCTTAAAAATTAAACTGTTTATATCTACCAGTATGCTCCATATGGGTCATTTAATAGAGAGCCATTTAATATTGAATAAGTACAAAACTGACCTTAGCTGTTGATTTTCACCTGTAACATTATTGCAATGTACATATTTTTATTTGTTGACTATAGCTCAGCATTTAATACTTTTGTACCAAGCAAATTGTATTTTAAACTTTTGGATGATCTTAATTTTCCACCAGCACTCTGCGATTGGATTTTAGATTTTCTTTTAAACAGAAAACAGTCAGTAAAAGTCGGTTTTAACTTCTCGGACACTATAGTTTTAAACACTGGCACACCCCAGGGCTGCGTCTTATCACCTTGTTTATATACGTTATTTACCCACGACTGTGTGGCGAGGGAGGAAAATACATTTTTAATGAAGTTTGCCGATGATACAACTTTAGTCGGCTTGATACACCATAATGATGAGATGTCATACAGGTAGTCGGTTTCAAGTTTAGTAAATTGGTGCACAGACAATGACTTGATATTAAATGTGAGCAAAACAAAAGAAATGATCATAGACTTCAGAAGAAATCAGTGAAGTAAAAATCCATTGGAAGTTAATGGTAAAGTGGTCGAACAGGTTTCTAATTATAAATTACTAGGGGTTCAGCTGAATAATAGGTTAACCTGGGGCGATAACATCACGAAGCTATTGAAAAAGGCATGTCAACGAATGTATTTCTTAAGGAAATTGAAAGCTTTTACCAGAAATGTGTTTATTTTAACGAACTTTTACAGGTGTGTTTTAGAGAGTATTTTAACTTATTCAGTAACTGTTTGGTATGGACGTGCAACTGTGGAGGAGAGGAACAAGTTGGAAAAGATCGTCGAAACTGCAGGGATTGTAATTGGAACAGATCTAACTCCCGTCCATACTATATATCTAGACAGGACTAAAAAGAAAACATTATCAATA